CCCGCCGAGGCCCTGGATCCGGCCCTGCTCCCGCCCTGCCCCGAGCCACGGTTTGGGAATGGGATGTGGAGCCTGCCCCGTGATGGGATCCCTGCCATGGGTGTCGGACCCTCCTGGGGTGACCTCCCCTCTGACACTGCTGTGATGAGTTTGGGGTCTCAGCTGGGCTGGGGCTCTGGGTGCCCACCGAAGGCCTGGGGGCTTGAGTGGTCTCCTGTGGGAGCTGCTTCCCACCTCTGCCGGGCAGGGGGAGCGGGTTGGAGACCCTTTGGGTGCCCACCCCCTCTCCCTTCCTGGGAAGGGGTGCCCAGGGAGGAGCGGCTGCCTGGCTGATTTTGGGGTCTCCCAGCAGTGCCAGCCCCTCTCCTGGGCAGGAGGGTGGGAGCAAGGGGGAGTTGGAGGCAGAAAGAGGGGTCTCGAGGCAGGAAGGGAGCAGCTGGCATGTGCCCACCCTGCCAATACCAGCAGATTTTTTGGAAGCAGTCCTTGGCCCCGCCAACCTGGGCTCTTCCCTCCCTACCAGACTGGCACCAGGTGCTGGCACTGCCAGAACAGTGGGGTTACTCTCCCCTTTTCCCCTCTAGTACACACCACAACTCTCTTTGAGCATCTCTGGTGCTGGATGCTGGGCTGGGGGCTCCTGGGGGGGCAGGGGATGAGCTGGGCAACTCCAGGGCCCTGGTGGTGCCAGTTTAGGGGTGCAGTGCACCCCAACACCCCTTTTCACCCAGCCCAGAGTGCTGCTGTGGGGAGGAGAGACACATCCTGGGTTTTGGGGGGGTTGTAGCCTTGAACCCCCTCATCCCTGTGACTGTCCCAGTGTGGAGTGGCTGAGCCCTGACTCGGGATGGGGCTGGTCTGTGTCCCCAAACCAGTGACCCCACACCTGGGACTGGTCCCATCCTGGCTCCACTCCTCTCCCAAGGGATGGTGTGACAGCAGTGCTTGAGCTGGCACTGGCTCCGTGGCACAGACGGTGTCCAGCCGTGCCGAGCCTCGGGGAGCCCCCTGCCTCAGTGTCCCTTGTCCCTCGCAGAGCTGCCGCCCTCCGAGTTCATGCAGGTGGCAGATTCCACATGGCTGGTGCTCAGTGTTGTCTCCAACGGGCGGGAACCCCCCGGCTGCCAGGCCACCGGCGTCACCAAGATCGCGCGCTCGGTCATCGCACCGCTGGCCGAGCACCACGTCTCGGTGCTGATGCTCTCCACGTACCAGACCGACTTCATCCTGGTGAGGGACAGGGACCGTGGCACCTGGTCCCCCTGGGGTGCTGGCTGTCCTGAGAACCCCGCTGTGCCTGTGGGGAGGGGGGGCAGTCCGGGCCCTGATCCTGTGCCCCCGGGCAGGTGCGGGAGCGGGACCTGCCGGTGGTGATCCACACGCTGGCGGGGGAGTTTGACATCTACAGGGAGGAGAGCGGCGAGTGTGTCCCTGTCACCTGCGATGACGTGAGCAATGGCTTCCTCAAGCCCAAGCCGGGTGAGTGACACTGGGCCCATGTCCCCTGGGACCACCTGGTCCCTGCCCAGATGCTCCCCTACCCGTATCCTTGAGGGATGTTCAGGGCCACCCTGTCCCTGAGCCACCCACTCCCCACCGAGTTGCTCCAGCGCCCACTGGAGGTACCCACCTCCTTGGGGGACCCCCGGAGCCACTCTGCCACTCTGTCCCCAGAGCCACCCTGTCCTAGGGCCACTCAGTCGCTGCCAAGATGCTGCCCCTCCCATCAGTAGTACCCACATCTTTAGGGGACCTCCAGGCCACCTGTCCACAGGACCACCCAGTCACCGCTGAGGTGGTGGGTGGTGGGTGCTCCAGCTCCCACCAGTGGCACCTGCATATCTGGGGGACCTCCAGGGCTACCCTGTCCCTCAGGGCCACCTAGTCCTTGCCAAGATGCTCCAGCTCCCACTGGAGGTACCCACATCCTTGGGGGCCTCCCAGGCCACCTGAACCCCATCAAGGTGCTCCAGCTCCCACCAGTAGTACTTGTATCTTTGTGGGACCCCCCCAGGTCACCCAGTCCCCAGTGTCACTTGGTCCCTGCCAAGGTGCTCCAGCTCCCACTGGTGGTTCCCACATCCATAGGAGACCCGCAGGGCCACCCAGTCCCCATGGAGATGCTGCAGCTCCCACTGGTGATACCCACAACCTTGGGGACCCGGGGCCACCCCTCTGCTCCCCGAGGGACTCCATGTGGGTGCGGTGGCCACGGGGTGGCACTGTGGGACTGTCCCCGAGCTGCCCCAGGGCTGACGCGTGGCCGTTCCCCTGCCAGCCCCCAGCCCCACTCTGCACCCGGTGCAGAGCCCCCAGACCCGCTTCTGTGTCCTGACGGTGGCCCCCGACACGCTGCCCGCCATCGCCACCATGCTCATCGACGTCCTCTTCTACTCCCACAGGTGGGTCCTGGGGAAGGGGATGTGGGGGTGGCCCCTTGCCCAGTGCCACCTGAACTGTGGTGACACGTCCCACCTGTCGCTCCTGGTGGGTTTTCGGGCTCTGGGTGCGTTTTCCAAACTGGTTTTGCCCTCCCAGGGGCTGCAGTCATCTGGGTGCTTGGGGGTCCTGCTGCCACCACGGGGGGTGGGAGCCCTGAGGTGACACAGGGGACAAACCCACCATTGCTGTGAAGTGGGAGGGGGTGGGTTTGGAAGGTCGGTGGGAATGGTACTGGGGCGAGGGGATGCTTCTGGCCAGGTCCCTTTTGCCCTTTGTGATGGGGTCCTTTCTGATGGCACTCAACTGCTCCAGAGTCACTGTGGCCTTTCGGGAATGCCCCAAAACCTGGTGTCACCCTGTCCTGCCTCATCCAGCACCTGCAAGCTGCAGACCCTGCAGGGAGCACCTGCTCCCATCCCCTCTCCTCTCACCCTGCAGCATCCCAACATGATACTCAAACACCCAGTGCCAGCACAAAGCCCTTCTCCTCCCCGTTTTGGGGGTTGTGACCCCTCCCTGTGCCTCTCCCCCTCTGCAGCCCCCCACGGGAGGCGGGTGCCGGCAGCCAGGACCTCGACTCCATCACCTTCTTCTCCTTCTCCCTCATCGAGGGCTACATCTCCATCGTGATGGATGCTGAGACCCAGAAGCGGTGGGTGCTGTCCCTGGGGCTGTCTGTCCCTCTGTCCCTGGGTCTGGGGGCTCAGGGATTGGGGGTGACACACTCCTTTCTCAGGTTCCCCAGTGACCTGCTGCTGACCAGCTCCACGGGGGAGCTGTGGCGGATGGTGCGGATCGGGGGGCAGCCCCTCGGCTTCGGTGAGTGTGGCCATGGTGGCCATGTCCCCTCTTGTGCCACCAGGGGCACTGCTGTCCCTGTGTGTCCCCATGGCAGT